CCCCAAAACCCCAAAACCCCAAAACCCCAAAACCCCTTTAAGGAAGTAAAAAATTGAGAAACCTAAAATTATATTAATTTAATGAGAAAAGCATATCAAAATTCTAAATCTTTAAGAGAGGAATGATCGGATATATGGAATGATGGTGATTTGACAGTTAATGAAGAGAAGTATGAAGGCAAGGCTGCTCAATTGCCTAATTATACACAGCAGTTTACCAATACTTTGAAAGATAACAAGGGGAAAGTTAAATCAGAGGATTTGAGCAATTATGTTATGATAAAAGAGTTCCACCAGCAATTATCAGTTAAAGAGATAAATATTCAACCATTAGATGGAGAGTTAGAGCTAAATCTTGAACAACAAGAAAGGGAAAAGGAGAACTTGAAGTCTTATCTTACCAGAACAAAGGTTGATAAGACGGCTTGAACAAGAAGAGAAAATGTTAATTTCTTATCTAGCCTTAGACTAATTCCTTCAAGTGAACTTCTCAAATTAATCTACTAAGTCTACGCAAAGTTCCAAATAAAATTTTGGAGGCATTCTTGACCAAAAGTTTCCCACTAAAGCTGATAACTTAAATTATTTTTAATGTACTGATCTTTAAATCTCTTTCTGGCTTATTGATTGTGAGGAGGTGCAGGATTGGTTTAGGGTAGGACATGGGGGTGGATTTGAGAGAAGTTAGAAGAGTTGGAGATTGTGTTTATAATTATTCAAGAAAGTTTAGGTTATAATGTTGTAAGATTTTGGATAAGTGTTATTAAGTTAGAAATAGATTAATGGGAGTTTTTACTTTATTTTACCCTTCTTTTTCTCTTGGGGCATTTTGGATAGATTATGGTAAATTTTCTGAAAATTTTCATAAAATGTTGATAAAAAATAATAAGTTGGAGGAAATCGTTTCGCTACCTGTCAATAATTTCTGAATATGGCTTATTTCCGTTTTTCGGTGAAATTGGTCATCTTTGAATAAGAGTTCTTTCTAGCTGGGGGAGAAGGTCTGGAGTAGGGATAGGTGGGAAGAGGAGTGGGTTATGGAGGGATGTATGAAGAATTTAATCAGACTTTTAGGTTATGGAGATAGCATTGGAAGGAACTCAAACCAAAGTAAAAAATTGAAATCTGCAGCTAAATGTGAGCGAAATAACTAAGAAATAAGCATAAATATTTATAATCGAGTATTATGGGAAAAAGCACCTGGTGGATTGGATTATAATAAAGTGAAAAAAATAAGTTTTATATATCAAAATTTGATGGAAAAAGAAGTTATAAAAGAATCTGCAAAGATTTTTTGAAGCTTTAGATAAGAGTTTTAGTAGATCTTATAACTTATTTCAAAAATGTTCAGTATTTGGGCAATTTCATTTAAAAATCTCTTATCTTCCTATAATTCAATATCACTCCTCTCTAAAGGGGTTTTGGGGTTTTGGGGTTTTGGGG